TGAGAGATGGTTATTTGTTTCCTTTACAGCAACATGCTCAAGAATGTGAATGTGAAGAACTTAAACGAAAACTATCAGAATTGAAAAGAGAACGGGATTCTCTTCAACAGGCGAAGAGAAAGAGGCTCAGCCTGAAAAATAAGAGAGGGCCATCTCAAGCTGAAGTGTTCAGGATGATTTTGTAATTGATCTGGTGTTTTTAAAATGATAATTTTGTTTTGATGATAATTTACACTAATTCCTATTCAATTATGGGACTGAATAAACAGTTAACCAAATGTCATAAAAACTGCATTTATTTTTGGTATCGTTTGTAAATAAGTCTTATATTGATGTAATCTTCTAAATTACAATGTAAAGACAGAACCAAACATAAACAAAGGATCACACAAAGAGAACTTAACTGTTCCTGTAAATAAAAGATACATTCAAAGAACTATAACTCAACATGCTTCATTAGACTTCAAAAAACACAATCAAGCGAAAAATTTGATATATATTCCTTAACAAAAGGAATTAGATAACAAGCGATAACAATAGGGTCAAAGCTATAGAAACACTAAGGGTCAATCACAAAAGCTCTTATGTAGCATAGCATACAATAAATGTCACGTACATTACTTAGGTAAGCGGCAGTTAGCTGTGACGCACTTGCTCATCGAATGGGGTACCTTAGCAATTTTCTTTGGAGGAAGAGCCCAGGTCGGCGTAGAATTAGGATCAGCCTTCCGCTTTGTTTGTTTATTATAACCATGATGATTGTTTAGGACACTGTTCCTTGGCCTCCCACCAGGTTGGGCTTGTTTTCCACCACTATGATGAACCCTTCTGCCTGGTGCTGTGGGTTGAACGTTTATTCTGTTGCACTTACCAAACACAACTGGTTGAAGAACTGATTGGTCCTTTGAAAAAGTTGAAAGAGCAGACGCAAGAGTTGATTCATAGTCAGTCCTCTTGGCAATAGTGAAATAAGCATTTAGGAATTTGTCAACCGGTTCAGAAAGATAGTCAGCACTCGAAGATAATTTTTGGAAGAGATCTTCAGCCATGTTCATTATTCTTTCTTTTTTTTCCTCCAGGCTGCTTTGGCTCAGGATGCCATTTAATGACTGGTCAAAAGGTTCTTCCTAAAACAATAAATGAGAAAGATAACTCAACTTAATCAGAATAATGTTTTTGAAACACATTGCTACAAAAAGAAAAACAAAACATACCTGATCAGTGCTATTCTCATCTAGATTTCCTTCAGAAGGGGGGCAAATAGGTAGTTCGATTGTGGGGTTGACCACGTCACCACCCTTAAGGGTATTAAAGAGCCCCTCTGGGGCAGTTGTCTGCCCAGTCATGAAGAAGAACAATCTCATTTTAAATTCAGGATCATTTGTAGGAAGAAACTGGTGGTGACTAATTTTGAATTTCTGAGAGACGGCCAGTTGATGTTTACAGGGAGCGCCACACATGCCTACTGGGCATGAACAGACCTGAAGGGCCATATCAACAGTGTACTCTGTATTCTTTGCAACATTTTTCACCTGGTACAAATCTGTACAAGAAAAAAGGTTTTCTGCAACCAGTGGCTTCAACTTTTCAGGTCTCACTCTAAATTTTGATCGCAATGTCTTAACTCTATTATGTACAACAAAGGCAAGCTTTGTCTTGAAATGTGAATCCATTTCTTCACATAAAATGTGGAATAGTTGCACAGTATTGTAGGCTTTCAGGCGACCAAGAATCAAACCTTTGATGAGCCTCATAATAGCTTCACAAAAATTATTTGTATGATGTCCTCTGGTTAGCAATTCAAGTCTGAAGCACAGGGCCCATTCATTTGCCCGATTTTTTAGATCCTTAAAGTGATTGTAAACTATATCATAAGCACCCAAAATAGGATCTGACAAGGCTACCTCATAACGCGATTCATATTCTTCAATTGAGGAGGCATACAATATCTCACGAAAGAGGAAGTACACATGTGGTTTGTCTTCGAACTTTACTTTATGTTCTGAATCCCAAATGTATCTCCACATGGCTTGAAGAACATGGAATATGCAGAGCAGATAAATTGCAAAGGGAAACACAGCTCGGAGACTGTTGCGCTGATGTGTGGAATCATCAGTCATAATGATTTTTGGCCCTTGCAGACCCCGTCCACAAAATGCATTTGAGGGAATGATTTCTGTCCACAGCTGAAGAGCAGCAGCCACAACAATTTCAGTCTCAGAAAAGGTGATTAGCAGTCCTTCTGGGAGCCCACAAACTGGACTTGGGGCAACCATAACAAAGACACGAGCATTATTGTTATCCATATTACCACTTGAATCAATGAACATTATTTCTGCTGCAGCCTTATGATGAGTCAGGATTCTTTTCATCATTGGTGAGCATACAGCAAACAAAATGCTGCTTGCCATCAGGAGTAGAGCCAAGTTTAGCACAGATGTCCTTACATGAAGTATTGTACTCTTCAATACTTTTTTCTAGCGCAGAAATCATTTCAGGACCATATGGCTGGCCACATCTGTTTTTCATAATTTTGTTGTACAGCTTATAAACCGGACAAAGAGACCCATCTCCAATGTTCATCCGGTCAGGGTCTTCTTTCTCATGGATACTTTTGAAGGAGAGGGTCTTTGCTCCTGAGTGAAAAAGAATCATGTTCTTTTAAGTAAAATTTTCAAACGGCATAAGAAGAAAATAAGGAGGAAATGCAGCTCTCTGGGAATTAATTTTTACAGAGAGGAATGAGAGCATTCAGTGAATTTCAAAGTCTCCTATTAAATACTAACCACTTCATCTTCTGACTCTTGACAGTAATGGTCATCTTTGCAGGGCAGGCAGTATGTTTTTCATGGGGCGTTTTACTACCACTTTTTTCAGCAAGAGTATTGTGGTGGCACCGATATATTTTCTGAAAATTGATTGATAAGGAAGTGTATAGCAAGACAAATGTCTAGCCTGAAGGAGATAAATAATAAAACAGTCATCACTCAAACACACCTTGAAAACAAGTCTTCTGCTTAAGACTACATTTCTTGGCTTCCACACTCTGAAGTTTGTTTTGGACACTTTCTCAAAATTCCCCAACCATGTCTCAGCTTCAGCTGCAGTTGACACATTAATTCTGATCATACTAATGATGTGGTTGAACTTGGTCCCTATGTCTTCTACTGACACAATATTATACATATAATCTCCTTGGGGAAGAATTTTCTGCAAACATACACATAAATATTATTATTATGAGTAGCCATGTAACGTGTCGCGTAGCAAACAACAAATAAACAAAAGGCCTGTAATTTACCATAAGCTTTGCTTTGGTATCATCTGGATTACAATTTAACTTAGTTTTAACCTGCTGCTTAGGGTTTATCTTAGCTTTTTGTTTTGCAGTGGGCACCCTTTTCTTTGGTATAAATTCATCTTCACTGAGGTCAGCAATGACATGAAAATTCAGATAGCCTCACTGAATCATGAGATGAAATTTCAGATTCAGCATCTGAATCTGATGCAACATCTGAATCTGATGCAACATCAATATAACCTTCACCACTGCCATCATCACATTCATCTGGAAATAACAAAAACCATACAGAAAAAAAAGCAAAACAATTTTCCTATCTTGGCATAATTGAAATAAAATTTGATTCATTACCAACTATAGGGGTGTGGGTCTGATTAACTGCAGCTGCTGCTCTGGCTCTAGAAGCCAACAAATCATTATCAACAAACTGAGGCACTACAGCATCAGTGTGTGTTTGCTTTACTACAAGTAGGTTGCTGTCATGATGTACTCCTTGAAAATCTTCTGTAAATTGAACAAGGGATATTTAAAAAGCAAATTTTACTGGGTGAAAGGAAACTGGAGCAGGAATAACTTACCAGACACCACCTCTTCAACAATACCCTCTTCTTGAATTGTAGGTAAATAAGGGGCCTGTGAAAATAAATACTGTCATTAGAGCAAATTGAAGCTTTTGTATTTGCTTATATTAAGAATACAAATCAACCAGAACTCACCTCAGTGTATACTGCCTTTGGCTGCACAGCTGCCAGTGGTGTTCTTCCAGTTATTACCCAGCGAGCAATCGTCAATCAAAATTACATCAAAATGACGTAAAGTGACGTCGAAATGACGTCAAATGACGTCAAAATGACGTCAAATTGATGTAAATTAATTGACCATTGCTCGCTGGGTTAATTTGGATGGTGCATATTTTGATGGCTGAGATAAAGAAACAATTTGCTTTCTTCCATTTTCAGGCAAACACAGAGTTTGTTTGGACAGAAAGCTATTATTGGCTGTAGGGCCCAAATTACTGGAGTGAATGACTTTCACATTTTTGCCATTCATAGTCTCAGTCTGCAAATTAAAAGTTTCAATGAACTACAGAGTTACAAGCTCTTAAGGGTGTAAGTGTGATACCCAGAGTATATATTAATCATAAATGCCACACAGACTTACTGTAGAAGTTGCTTGCTGCTTTGGTTGCAGAATACTGCTGAGAGGTTTCTGAATACATAATAGTTTCAATGAAGTATTATAACTTGATGGCTGAGAAAACGAAATGATTGACTTATTTCCATTTCCACTCTCTGCTGGCAAACATGAAGCTTTCTGAGATGGAGTACTACTAGCAGAGCCAAAACTCCGATCAACTATTTTAAAATGTTTTGTTTGAGCAGCAGGCTGCAAACAGAAATTAAGAGAAATGAATTAAAGCTGGCAAGGGCTGTAGTTGTGGCCTGAGAGAAATTTTACAACAAGTTCTTACCAAATAAGGAGTTGTGTTAGATTGCAAAGTAGTGAAAGGTTTTCTTACACTCACTATTCGCAACTGTGCATTATTTGGCAAAGGAATATTGAGCTGCTTATTCTTATTCACTGCTATTGGCAAAGAACTTTGGGCACTGGTAATAATATTTTTACAGCGAATCACCTTAAAATTGTTACTGCCATCATGCAGAGTCTGGGTAAAAATTAAGGTTCAAAATACAAAATCTGAAGAATATAGTGGTGGCGTATTCGAGATAAAATAACAACATTGCAACGACAGACATACCATATATGTTGCTTGTGGCTGTAAAACACCCAAAGGTTTTCTTACTGTAGCTGACACAGGTTTTTTGACTGTATTTGCCCAAGGTGCATTGGTAGATTGAGACCATCCACTCGACCCACTCCTTCCGACTCAAGATTGAAGGCAAAGCGCTCAGCTGGCCAGAGTAGGGGTAGCAACAACGGAATCTTGTATCAAATTGATCAAATTTTTTGTGATCCAAAGTGGTGGACATTTCTACTTTTTCATAAAAATAAAATAAGGAAATAACTTGTATGAAACATATATATACTTTCACAATCAGTAATATCTATTGTCTATTGGTTTCAAGAAAGGAAATTATGTAAGTTGTTTAGGGCTCAAAAATAAAGACACTCAAAATAACCTTACAACCATAATTGTAATTATTACATGATTACAGAACTTTTTTCTTCAAAATGAAGCACAAGGATCACAGAGGCATAAATTAAAAGAACAAATTGGTAACAGTATTGCCCAATTGAAAATCCTCATATCACTAATTCCAGAGGTTTGCTTCAAGCATTTCTATTTTTTATCTACAGACTAAAATCTTGGTAACTATCTTTCTAATCATTGTTTGCTTCAATGCAATAAAGCAAAAATGCGAATTTAAAAGCAGAAAAAATTAAATAAAATAAAGACAAGAACTTAAGTAAGGAAGCGTCTCACAAAATTTATGCTGTCTCAAAAGAATATTTGGTCTTAGTTGACTTCTGGGCCATAAAAATTACAGAGCATTTGTATCCTGAAAATTCAACTCAACTCTGGTTATTTGCAAATTTCAGTCTTATGTAAATGCCCCCAAGCCTGATAGTGCAAATTTCTCAAAATTTCTCCACATATGCTAGAGTACATTTTTCTTTCTGAAAGCAGATTAAATTTAATAAAGTTGGACTAACCACCCATTTTATCAACCTATATGATAATCTAATCTCAACAAAATAAGCACAGTTAGTTATTACTGAAATAACTTTCACCGATGATCCCTAATTTTCTTTACAAGGTTGTGATTAGTTTCTTTAGAAATCTGTAATCAGAAAAAATGGATATGAACCCTCTGATTTGTTAAATCATTTTAAAATCCTGTGACTTTTCTTGTAGAGTTAAAAAAAACGAGTTTGATATATCACACTCATTGCTGAATGTTTCACCCTACTGCAAAACCAATACCAACTGCATTGATCCATCAAATGCAATACTTCCAATGTTGCACTACACTCTGCACAGGCTCAAAAATAAAGACACTCAAAATAACCTTACAACCATAATTGTAATTATTACATGATTACAGAACTTTTTTCTTCAAAATGAAGCACAAGGATCACAGAGGCATAAATTAAAAGAACAAATTGGTAACAGTATTGCCCAATTGAAAATCCTCATATCACTAATTCCAGAGGTTTGCTTCAAGCATTTCTATCTAAAATAAAGACAAGAACTTAAGAAAGGAAGCGTCTCACAAGTGTGGTACTTGAAGGGTGTGGGTTGAATGTAGGCCCTTCATGGGTGACACCTCGCTCAAGGGTCGTTTTGGCAAAGCGTTTTTAACGTTGCCTACAATGTTTTCTAGATAAGATGCGTACTTTCTTAGTTCGGCCAAATGTCCTTCCAGTTCCTGTTTCGACTTTAAAGCTTCATCCCGTTCCTTTTCTAAATTGTAATTTACTATCATCATATTTTCTCCTGTCTGGCAATATTCATTCATTTTTCTCTCGAAACTTTCTGCCTTTTCCTTCCAACCTTCTGCTGCTCCATTCTCATCCACAATCCCCTGCAATCCCGGACCTGTCTTTTTATCAGCCGTTTCCATCTTCTGAACTTTTAATTCTTCTTCCAGCACTTTTCTTTTCTTCCTCTGTTGCTGGTACTTCTCCTCTGCATCCTTTCTAAGGCTCTTCTCATTTTCAATCTCCGCTTCCAACTTTCCAATTCTCTCTTGTTTTTCCCTCCCTTTGCTCTTCTCTTTTTTAATCTCTTCTTCTAACTTTTCAATGCTTTCTTCTCTTTTCCTCCCTTTGCTCCTCTCTTTCTCAATCTGTTCTTCATACTCGCACAGTTGATTGTAGTACTCTCGTATTATAGCAGCATCAAGGCTCTGCTTCATAATCAGCCTTTTCTCATTGCAACCATTTTCGTCATCCTCCTGGGTAACAGAAATTAATATTAGAATGCAGAAGAACAGAAAAAATTCCAACAAACCACGCTTTAATATGTGCACTGTAAAACCAAGTGTCGACCATGTACACTAGACTGGCACTTAAAAATCACTTTTTAGATTTTTAAGGGTCCTAGGGTCAGACTTTGTTTCTTTCGATGAAAAAAAAATCTATTTTTTTCGGAGACCGATCGGACACATTTTAGTGCTGCCGCAACGGCCCTAAAGTTGATTTATTTTAAATAATGACACTAAGTCACATAAACGTTAATAACTACCCACCCCGATGTCCGATCGACGTCCGATTTTGACCAAAAGTAGAGTACATATAGGGGAACTCTCGTGCAAAGCCACCCCGCTGTAGCTCAAATACTTTCGGAGTTATGGCCGTTGAAAGATTTTGGTCATTTTCAGTAACTTTGGGGAAATGACCAAATTTCACTAAAAAGGACTTTGACCGTCGTCTTTTGCTCTTAAAAATCAGCCACTGGTGGCCTAAGGGTAAAACTGTGTTCTGAATCCGAATCCGTCGAGAGATTTGACGGATTACATCGTTTTATTGCCATTCTGGAAAAACGGTCCTCCATAAGCCCCTAATAAAATGAAAGTTTTAGAACGGCAACAAGACGATGTAGTTGCGGGAGCCAGTTGGCTCTCGTGCGGCGCAACCTACGCGCATTCGGTACAATGCCTCGCTCTCGAGAAACAGAAGTCCCACAGAAATTTGAAAAAGTGGCCAAGAAAGTTTGAAGTGTGGGGAATAATCGGCTCGCTTTATGTTTGGGTCTAGGAAGTCTCTAAATACGAGAAATAACGGGTCTAATGCGGACTAGGCACACTTTAGAAGGGAATCGTCAGTTAAAACCTCTTTGCGTCAACGTTTTGCATGAAAGTACCAATATTATTTCGGAATAATATTCCTTGTTCTTTCCCCTTTCTAACAATATATGTGTTCATCCATTTTCGAGTTAATTAGGGGGTGCGGCAGCAGATTTTCTGCGTATCTGCGCTCGGCGCGCGGCGCCGCTCGCTCGACCAACCAACCAACCGACCGACTCGCCAACCCGACTTTCCTTATCCGCACGCGCCCCTGACCGATCCGGAACACTGTGGCCCTCACTATGGCGGAGGCGGCGAGGGACCCCTTCCCGGACCCAGTGGAGTTTGGGGAGAAGTTGAACGCCCTCGTCGCCTCGAAGAAGAACCTTAAGCAGCCATCCTACTTCACCCGCGGATAATGTGCGACACTTTCCTGGCGGAGACCAAGGCGGCCGAACCAAAGAAGACGGGGTCAAAAGCACTGGAGGATATGTAGTTAGCGATAAGTAGGGTCGACAAGGAGGGTCCGGCGAAAAGGAGGGTCGCGCCGAGGAGGGTCGCGAGGAGGGTCGGGAGGAGGATCGGCGAAAAGGAGGGTCGGCGAAAAGCAGGGTCGGCGATTTTTCGACACTTAATAATCCGTTTGCGTTCGCTATGCACTATGAACACAACAAAACGTTATAGATTTATAGATTTCAAATTAGAGACTTCAAACGTTAAATTTACACGAACAGGCTGGTTCGTCGTCATTTCCGTTCATTATGTAGCAGCAGCAGCGTACCAGTCACAAATTTTTCTAAGCGAAAGAATAAACAAACAGAAAATGTAACACCACCGACACTAGTGAGAACACGACCACACCGAGACTGGGCGAGAGGGAGTGAGGAAAATCGAGACCTTACTGGTCTGCCTCCCGGCAGGTCGCGCTGCTGTCTAGCCGCCAGCCGCCGGCGCCGCGTACGCTTGAGCTCGCTCCAGTGCACCACTCGCGCGTTTTGTTGTGTTCATAGTGCATAGCGAACGCAAACGGATTATTAAGTGTCGAAAAATCGCCGACCCTCCTTTTCGCCGATCCTCCTCCCGACCGTCCTCCTGACCCTCCTCGCGACCCTCCTCGCGACCCTCCTCGGCGCGACCCTACTTATCGCTAACTACATATCCTCCTGGACGCGATGGACGGCCACCGTCTCGCCAGGTTTAGCGTCGTCAAACTTCTGGGTCAACCAGAGCGGCTCGTCGAGGGGACGGAGGCGAAGGGGAAGAAGAGGTCCCAAGTCCAGCAGGACCCGGAGGCCGCACAAGAACTCGCGGCCCTCAAACCTCCCCTGACCTTCGTCTGCGTCGACGAGCTCCACGACCTGCTGCGGGGGGCGCATACCGACTCGGGCCACGGGGGCAAGCACAGGATGACCAACATGATGATTGAGAAATACAAGAACGTCACGGAAGAGGTCATCCGGTTGTACTTAAGTCTGTGCCCCACGTGTGTCACGAAAAGAAATCCCGTGAGGAGGGGGATCACCGTCCGTTCGATGGTGTTCCGCCAGATGAACGACCGAATGCAGGTGGATCTGGTGGACATGAATGTTGCAAATGCACCAAGGGCTGTGACTCAAAGAGGTGCGGTTGTGTGCGGCGGGGTGAAAAATGCAAAAGTGCCTGCCATAACGGCGGGCCTTGCTGTAATAAGTAATAAGACCAATAAGATGTAGTGATATCAGAGCTGCAGAGGCAGCAATCGTCGCACAGCACGCACCCCAGCAACGTTAGGAAAGAGCAAGCACAACCACCCTATTTTTCGGCATTTAACGGCAGCCGGCGAAACGGCGCGACCCGGCAGGGAGCGACGGCGTGGGACGCGGGGCCGGGCTCGGCCGGGCCGAGCCGGCGCAGGGCGAGCTGGCACACATGAGCACGCACTCCCCCTCCCCTCGTCTCACTCGGCTGAGCCGGCGCGGACGCCGACGGCACCGTTACAAGAGGGGAAGGCGGGACCTCCCCTCCTCTCGCCTCGCCGGCGGGGCGAGACACCTACGGGCGTGGCCTCGCACAAATGGCGACGGGAGCGACCAGGGCGCGGCCCAGCGGGGCGCACCCCAGGCAGAGCCAGGGGAGAGCGCGGCGAGCAGGAGCTCCCGCGCTCGGCTGGCGACCGCGGCCCACGGGTCAGGGGTCGACCGCACCCCTCGGGTCCATGCGGCGCACCG